TGAGAGTCACACATATACAGATCAAGCCAGAGTATTGGGAAGTTAACAGTCGTTTATTGAGAGTCACACATATACAGATCAAGCCAACGTATTGGGAAGTTAACAGTCATTTATTGAGAGTCACACATATACAGATCAAGCCAGAGTATTGGGAAGTTAACAGTCGTTTATTGAGAGTCACACATATACAGATCAAGCCAGAGTATTGGGAAGTTACCAGTCATATACTGAGAGTCACACATATACAGATCAAGCCAACGTATTGGGAAGTTAACAGTCATTTATTGAGAGTCACACATATACAGATCAAGCCAACGTATTTTGGGGGAATATACCTCCCCCTTTTTCAGGGCTTTGGTACGTATCAACAGAGATGGGTGGGTTCCGTGAAGGTGCCTGAGCCTCTTATGACAGCAGATGTTGGTTTTATTGGTGCAGGTAAAGGATTCTTACCTTCCTTGTTGCAAAATGTTTATACTGTAAACTGTGTACAGTCCAGCCATCTGCTGGGAGTCAGGATGAATTAACTCATCCTGGTCTAGTCAATCAAGATGTCCAATAATCCCAAACTCAGAGGAAGCCAGCGAAGAAGCTTGTGGACGCCTCATTGCTGGAGCATGGGGGAACTGCATGCTGACAGCATTATATTGTTTCTTGTGTGGGTTACGCCCCTCATGACTGGAGGCCAAAATGCTTCACCAAGCCCCTCACACGGAAGAATGACATGTTATCACCTGTCAGAGACACCTGTCCTGGCACTGGCTACAGAGACATTTTGAGGGAATGGTGCTGAGCACTGATTGTCCTCCACTAGATCTCTGTTCTGCAGTGGGATCCTGTCACCCAGTAGGGTTCCCCAACTGCCAGGCTACCCCCACCTACTGACCACTGGCCTCTACCACTCCTGCTTCCAAGCTCACTGCTCCTTCTGCTTGTCAACGCTCACTTCATAATCTCTAGGGTGAACCATAATACAAACGTTGTTCCTTAACCTTAAGGGTTACCTTAAGATGGTACTCTTCGTTGCCCAGTTCTTTAATACACTGTGAATATACTCTCTTCCCAAGTAATTCAGACCAGACAATGTCTCTTAACCAAAACCTCTTTTTAGTGAATAAAATGATTGTATTTAAAGTTTGTTGGCATTTTCACAGCAGTACATTCAAGAATGTAACATCAGAATAACTTCACATCCTCATTCTCCCTTGTCCATGACGCTATATCAGGCTTTGGTTGTGCTGTTTATGTTAGGTGGTGAGGTCCATACTTTATTATAGCCAAGTCCATTCTCACAGGTAATGTCCATAATCCAGTCCTCGTAACATATGTTGGGGGCCTGCTAAAGGGTTACTTCTCCATGACTTTAGCTCACACGCTGACACCTTTGTTCTCATTGTTCCCCTCCCATGCATGGAAAGCCATGAGGTCCAGTCTCCTCCTGCATAAATCACTTCAGTAGCAAGAAGTGAATCATATAGGGGCAGACACATCACATCACTAGATGTTTAACTCCATGCATCACCAGCCATTAACCCTTTTTTTAACAATGCACACCTGCCTACAAGTATAATTCAGTTTTAACTACTGTCTGAGGCCCTTAAAGTTCATCCTTACCGAAAAACAGCCTATCCAGGGAAGGGACATCTGTAGATAAAAACAAACTGTGCAGCTTTGAACAAAGTTAAAGTGGTTGTAAACCTCAGACATGAAATATGAATGGAGCATATCCCTCTATGGTGTGTACCAGGAGCGGACTGACAACTCATGGGGCCCCCGGGCAATAGGGGATCATGGGGCCCCTGTGTCCTTGTCCAAACTCAAAAAAGCCTATGAAGAAGGTACCAGGGGCATCTCATGGGGCCCCCTACTGACCCGGGCCCTCGGGCAGTGCCCAAGTTTCCAAATGGTCAGTCCGCTTCTGTTGTGTACTTGTCTCAATTCAGAGCACTAAGTGTAATTTCTCTCTGCTGCTTCATTCCTCTGCTATTATATATATATATATAATATATATATATTTCCGACAAGTTTTCCTGACACCAAGAGAATAAAGGTGACAGGGGAGAGACCTCCAGCTGATTGACAGCCTCAGCTCTGTTCCTGTGAGCTGTGTGGAGGGGTGTGTGTCTCTTCACTTCAATCAGCTCTCAGTGCTCTCCTCACGGAGCATTGCAGTGTGTAATATCTGCTCTCTGCCCACTTTTTTTCTGAATTCTCAGACAAGCTTTATAAATTCAGCACTTTGAATGGATGTAGAGAAGGGAAGACTGCAGATAAACAGGTACAACCTTTGTAGGAGGATTTGTTTAATCTCTGTGTATCACCTGAGGTCAGTCACTTCACTGGATGTATGTAGTGGTTTACGCCCTTGCTGTAGGTATAGGCCATTTACATACTTGCTGAAGCCTGGCTGAAAATCTCCTACAGATGGCATTATCCCATCCTGCCTTGATGCTAGGACATTGCAAAGATGCTCCCCGCAATTACTGCTCATCCCTACCATCACAGGAGTGAGCTGTCAAACTCCTGCACATGTGTGATCCACTATCTCCTCCATCGCAGCTGGGCATTACACAAGAGATGGTCAGATTCTGTGGAAATAATATATATGATGGTCAAAGATTGCAGACATGATACAAGAAATGGTCAGAGATTGCAGACATGATACAAAAGATGGTCAGAGATTGCAGACATGATACAAAAGATGGTCAGAGACTGTAGACAGGATACAAGAGATGGTCAGAGATTGTAGACATTATACAAGAGATGGTCAGAGATTGTAGACATGATACAAGAAATGGTCAGAGATTGTAGACATGATACAAGAGATGGTCAGAGATTGTAGACAGGATACAAGAGATGGTCAGAGATTGTAGACATGATACAAGAAATGGTCAGAGATTGCAGACAGGATACAAGAGATGGTCAGAGATTGTAGACAGGATACATGGTCAGAGAGACAGGTCAGAGATTGTAGACAGACATGATACAAGAGATGGTCAGAGATTGCAGACAGGATACAAAAGATGGTCAGAGATTGTAGACAGGATACAAGAATGGTCAGAGATTGCAGACAGGATACAAAAGATGGTCAGAGATTGTAGACAGGATACAAGAGTCAGATGGTCATGGAGATTGCAGACATGATACAAGAAATGGTCAGAGATTGCAGACATGATACAAGAAATGGTCAGAGATTGCAGACATGATACAAAAGATGGTCAGAGATTGTAGACAGGATACAAGAGATGGTCAGAGATTGTAGACAGGATACAAGAGATGGTCAGAGATTGCAGACATGATACAAGAAATGGTCAGAGATTGCAGACATGATACAAGAAAAGGTCAGAGATTGCAGACATGATACAAGAGATGGTCAGAGACTGCAGACATGCTGCAGGAGGCAGTAAGAGACTTTGAACATGTTATAGGATTTGTTGGAGACTGGGGACATGCTTCAGGAGGCAGTCATAGACTGGAGACATAACACATGAGGCTGCTAAAAATCACTACTACAACAGGGGGTATAGGGAAACACAGATTAGTGTCTGCAAGGGCCCAGTGGGCTACACAACATGTGCCAAAGGGCCACAGGCTTGGCACCAGGGTTCTAAGCCTTCCTAATGCTATCCATATTAAATAACAGTTTTCGCTGAAGTTGGACTTCAACATAAATCTCCCACATTAACACATCTCTTATAGGCCAGTTTTAGGGTTCTGTTTCCTCTGCTGCAGTTTGGTTGTTTGGTAAGAAACCATATTGTACAAAAATAGCAAGTGGAAGCCTGTACTATTATACTCAGTGATACATTTTTCTGCCTATGGGATTCTCTGTGTTCCATGTGTATACTGTATGCGCAGCTGTGGAATTGAGGAAAGATGTGTCTGTGCTATATGGCCAGATCTTTGCGGACACTGAATTATCATACCTACAATCATGGCTAAAAGTATTGTCAGCCCTGCATTTCTGTCAAATAATGCACCACTTTGCCTAGAAATTTGTTGCAATTACAAATGCTTAGGCATTCTCATGTTATTTCTTTTGCTTGTATTGGTATGACACAAAAAAGTGGAGAAACAAAAAGCCAAATCTGACACATCCCACGCAAAACCCCAAAAATGGACTGGACAAAATTATTGGCGAATTCTCACAATTGTAAGAAATAATTGAATTCCAAGTTTGTGATGCTCCTGTAATTTGTAATTAAAGTCACCTCAATTAACAGATCTTAATGTTCCTGTTTCCACTGTGCACAACATTGTCAGGAAGTTTACAGCCCATGGCACTGTAGCTAATCTCTCTGGACGTGGACAAAAACTTGATCAAAGATTGCAACAAAGGATTGTTCGAATGGTGGATAAAGAACCTTGATCGACTTCCAGACAAATTCAATCTGACCTTCAGGCACAGGGTACAATTGTGTCAACTCGCTCTATACGTCTCCATCTGAATGAAAAGGGATGTTATGGTAGGAGACCCAGGAGGACCCCACTGCTGACACAGAACCATAAAAAAGCCAGATTGGAATTTGCCCAAAACTTACCTGAGGAGGCCAAAATCCTTTTGGGAGAATGTGTTGTGGACAGACGAAACAAAATTACAGCTTTTTGGTAAAGTGCATAATTCTGCTGTTGTTAGAAGAAGAAAATAAGCCCTTTAACCACAAGCCTACCGGGCACTTATACCCCCTTCCTGCCCAGGCCAATTTCCAGCTTTCAGCGCTGTCACACTTAGAATGACAATTGTGCGGTCATGCAACACTGTACCCATATGAAATTTTTATCATTTTTTTTGTGACAGATAGAGCTTTATTTTGGTGGCATTTAATCACCTCAGGGTTTTTTATTTTTTCTTAAACAAACCAAAATCCACTGAAAATTTAGAAAAAAATTTTTTTTTCTTAGTTTTTGTTATAAAATTTTATAAAGAAGTGATTTTTCTCCTTCACTGATATGCGCTAATGAGGCTGCAGTGATGGGCACTGATAGGCTGCACTGATGGACACTGATAGGTGGCACTGATGGGCACTGATGAGGCACTGGTAGGTGGCACTGATGGGCATTGGCAGGCATCACTGATGGGCACTGAAAGGCAGCACTGATACATGGCACTGATATAGGCACTGATAGGCGGCACTCACTGGCACTGTTAGGCTGCACTGATTGTCATTGATATGTGGCATTGATTGGCACTGATTGGTGACACTGAAAGGCAGCTCAGATGGGCACTGATATGTGGCATTGATGTGCACTGATATGTGGGTATTGATGTGGCAGTGATGGGTGCTGGCATGAGGCACTGATGAGCACTGACACAAGGCACTGATGGACACTGACAGGTGGCACTGCTGGGGCTACACTGATCATCAGGGCACACTGATCATCAATGCCCTGATGATCAATGTACAGGTCCCCTCCGCGGAAAGCCGATTACCGGCACTCCTCTCCTCTGTCAGCGTAACAGCTCGAGAGGAAAGAAATGCTGATAACCGGCATTTCCCTGTTTATATGTGATCAGCTGTGATTGGACACAGCTGATCACATGACCGAGCCAGCATCTTCGGCTCTTTTCGTGATCAGTGATCCGCTGTGTCCGAGGGACACAGCGCACCGCCGATCACATGCGCGGTGAGAATGGGAGGACGTTATATGACGTCCTCCCAGAACGAGAGAACCACCTTGTGTCCGTCATATTACTATACGGCGGGCGGGAGGTGGTTAAAGAAAAGAATACAGTCCCTACAGTCAAACATGGTGGAGGTTCACTGATGTTTTGAGGTTGCTTTGCTGCTTCAGGCACTTTATGTCTTGACCGTGTGCATGATATTACGAAATCTGAAGACTAAAGAATTCTGGGGTGCAATGTAGGGCCCAGTGTCAGAAAGTTGGGTCTCTGTCAGAGGTCATGGGTCTCATGAGAGACCTGGAGCAGTTGGTGAAAAAAGAGTGGTCCAAAACTCCAGTAGAGAGTTGTAAGAAACTCATTAATGGTTACAGGAAGCAATTTATTTCAGTAATTTTTTCCAAGGGGTGTGCTACCAAATTAAATTGAGGGTGCCAATAATTTTTCTAGTCCATTTTTGGGGCTTTGCGTGGAATATGTCAGATTTGGCTTTTTGCTTCTCCACTTTTTTTTTTGTGTCACCAATACAAACAAAACAAATAAACATGAGCATGCCTAAACATTTGTAATTGAAACAATTTTCTGGGCGAAGTGGTCCATTATCTGACAGAAATGCAGGGGTGCCAATATTTTTGACCATGACTGTATATAAACATTTGGGCATCCCATTCTAAAACCAAAGGCATTAATATGGAGCTGAGCACCTGAGGACGTCCTATTGTAATGAAACACAGATGCTGATGTCATGATGTGTGCTGCGAGTCACCCAAGTAGCAGCTTGGAAGTATTTTATATGTGGTTTTAGTAAAACAGCTCTGGATGATCTGCACTAACTGGAGTGTTTTCTCTTTTCTTTGTGGACACTGGAGATTCAACACGGTACTAGAAGTGGATATGGTGGCTGTGATCTATTCATGAACACTGCATGGAAATTGTACCATGCTCATACCTATACTGACCTCTGTACTTCGAAGTCCAACAGACTTGGATTGGATGAGGCGGTGGTAATTAGTTTGGCATTTCACAGAAGTCTCAGGTATGCTGTGGAAACTTTGGTGAAGTGGAGTTACAAAGTTACACTTTGGGGACTTTTATTTTTAATATAATGGTGAAGGAAGAAATTATAATAATTGTTGTGGAGGGGTCTCCCTACTAGCACTGCAATATTATGTACATATTATATGGAGATTGCCTCCACTCTTACGGGAAGGCTTTGACAAGGTTTTGTAGAGTATCTATGGGAATTTATGCCCATTCAGTCAAAAGAGCATTTGTGATGTCAGGTACTGACATTGGATGAAGAAAACCTGGCTCCCAATTGGCATTCCAGTTCATTCCAAAGGCATTCAATGGGGTTGAGGTAAGGTCTCTGTGCAGGACACTCAGGTCCTTCAACACCAAACTCATCAAACCATGTCTTTATGGAACTGGCTTTGTGCACAGTGGTACAGTCACACTGGAACAAAAATGGAACCTTCCTTAAACTGTTACCATAAAGTTGGAAGCACACAGTTGTGAGTCGGGCTCAGTGCTCAATGCCCACCGGAGAAGAGAACTCACACGGATACCAGGAGTTGTGGCAAAGTATTTTAACGTGAAGGTATTGCAGAAGTCTAGCTACACTCTCACACCCGACTGAAGCACTTACAATTAACCATACAACAGATATCTATACACCAGATTAACACCCAATAACATCTGGCAGGGAAGGTGGCGGAAGGCAGACCACAATGGTACTTGAAGCATGGAGCCTACCATCCAGAGCACAATGTCATCACTCCCTAGTCTGTCCACCTTGTCCTCCACCCTCTCTGCATGGTGGCTGCTGCACAGCGCCACCCTTGCAGGGAGGCCTGACTACACCTGCCTACACAGTTGTCTAAAATGTATTTGTATGTTATAGCATTAAATGCAGTGCCCTTCACTGGAAACACCTGAACTCAATAATTTAGAGGTGTCTCTGTATTCCTTTGGCCATATACTGTCCAGACTGAACTTCTACTGCGTGTTGTCATCTTTCTGTCCGTGATGTGATGAAGCTCCCAGCAGTCTCTCTTTGTGTGTCTGTGTCTCCTTGTCTCTTATCTCTCTCTGCACGTCTCCGTTCAGGTGAGTGATCACATGATAATAAATGAAGCTCCTTCTTTCACGGACACATCTACAGTTCATGTACACCTCAGGGCATTCCATCCAACTGTCATGACTGACGTTTAGCATGCATCACCCTATTTAATAAAGCCTTCTACATGACTTAACCATGACAGACTGAGATGCTGTTACCGCTACTGTTCTTCTCTGCATTACCTGTGATAAAATTTTCAAAAACCTAATGGAGAAAACATTTACTCTACCTGTGATGATAAATGGATTCAGCATGACACTGATTTAAAAGTAGTTTGTATGTGCTGACATATTGTACAGTGATGGTTTATTTAAAGTGAAGTTTTGTTAAAAAAAAAAAAAAAAAGAAAGCTACCTATATTTTTTTTAACAGCAGGAAATTTTCTTAAAGGTTTCTTAACCTCCCTAGCGGTCTGATTATGTCAATATTTCTGTGCTCAAAGTGGTACATTTTTTTGCATGGAAATATGTATTTTTTTTAATTGTAGGCCTTCAATTTTTAGGAATAACTCACTGAAATCTGTCCGAACAAGAGTCTAGTAAACATCCCGGGTATGATAAAACTTGAAACACAAAATCATAAATTATAATTTAATAAATAATCATAAAAAACAATAATATACTAATAATACATTGAATTCAATAATATAATCAAACCAAAAACACTGAAATTTGAAATATAGCGCCAAGTTCGCACATTACTGAGCTCAGTCGCAGAATTGTTTTCAGTGTCTGATGACGAATTTCCCCCCACGAATCATTATCACTCAATTCTGCAAGTGGTTCTGATTTACTATCGCTGTTCTCTAGCCGGTCTAAAACCGCTTTTGACCTAAAGGGACGCTTTTTGGATGCCATGGGCGTTTCTAAGTTTCCAGGAGAAAGAACACTCAAAATGCAGGCAGGGCACAGGAAAAGCAGTAGGGACAAAATGTATGTGAAATGCTTTGAATCAGTAATGTTTTACTATGTCATATTCGTTTATTAGAAAATGACAGTTTTTAAAATTTTCAAATTTTCCACCGGTTTCGGCCCCCGTATGTCTCGATGCTCACAGGGAGCAGAACACGGAAGTCGGATGCAGGCATCGGCCGGAGGAGATGGCCGGGGACGCTGCAGGGGATCCATCGCGGGAGCGAAGGACAAGGTAAGCGCTGCAGGGAATCCCTGAGCAACGCCGCATGGTAAGCCTGAGTGTAGCTCGGGGTTACCGCTTTTGGTACTGAACCTTTATCCTGAGCTACACTCGAGAATACCACCAGGGAGGTTAAAGCGGTAGTACAGCTTCTAGAAAAAAACTTAAAATGAAGCTCTCCAGCAGCTTGCTGTTACTGCTAGCAGGGCTTTCATCTCACCCAGTCTTTCTTCGGGTTCTCGGGCCCCAGCTGTCTGACTGATTGAGCCACGATGACGTCACCAGGAGCCCCCAGGCAAAGCACAGAGCTGTGAAGGAATGGCATGGGTATGCCATTCCTTCAAAGCGCATGTGCCGGTGATGTCACTGGCTGCCGCTCGCTGGAAATATCTCCTAAATGGTGCACGTTTATTGTAAGCTTACCTGTAGGTAAAAATAAACAAAGAGTTTACTACCACTTTAAAGTACAATGTACCATAAAATGTCAAAAGCAGTGCCACAGTTAAAGTATGGTAGATAAATATATATATATATACTCACTGGCCACTGTATTAGGTATACCTTGCTAGTGCAAACAAAATCTCCCCCATGCCATTAACCGCCACCAGCCTGAACCATTGATACAAGGCAGGATGGATCCATGCTTTCATGTTGTTTAAGCCAAATTTTGACCCGACCATCTGAATGTTGCAGCAACCAGTCTGGTCAATTTCCTCTGATTTCTGACATCAACAAAGCATTTTCGTCCACACAACTGCCGCTCACTGGATATTTTCTCTTTTTCGGACCATTCTCTGTAAACCATAGAGATGGTTGTGCATGAAAATCCCAGTAGATCAGCAGTTTTTGAAATACTAGACCAGCCCTATCTGGCACCAACAACCATGCCAAGTTCAAAGTCACTTAAAACGGAGTTCCACTCAAAAGCAGAAGCTCCGCTTATTTGCCTCCTCCCCCCCTCCACTGCCATATTTGGCACCTTTTGGGGGAGCGGGTACTTGGTTTTAACAGGTACCCGATCCCACTTCTGGCACAGTTCGCCGCGGAAAAGTGAGCCGGAAGTTCGGCCCTCTTCCTCCCTCCTGCAGTCTCCTGGGAACTTTCATAGTCCCAGGAGACTGCCAGACCAATTAGGAAGCGCAGTACGACTTGCGCATGCGCAGTGGGCACCTGGCTGTGAAGCTGCAAGCTGTCAGCCTGGTGCCCACAGTTGAGGTGCCAGCACTGTGGAGAAAAGAAGTGGAGAAGGGACCACGCTGGTGAGAACATCGCTGGACTCCAGGACAGGTAAGTGTGTGTTTATTAAAAGTCAGCAGCTACAATTTTTGTAGCTGCTGACTTTTAATAAACACAAAAATAGCTGGAACTCCACTTTAAGTCCCCTTTCTTCCCATTCTGATGCTCAATCTGAACCTCAGCAAGTCTTTTTCACCATGTCTAGATGGCTAAATGTATTGAGTTGCTGCCATGTGATTGGCTGAT